GTGCAGGGTGATTTATAACTCCCACCAGTTCCAAGACTCACTGCATAATGTAGGTCATTTACTAAATATTCTCGAATAAGGAGGGATTCCTAGGTGGGGTAACCAAGAAAATTTCTACTTCACAAAGTACATTATTCTTATAGTAAATGGACACAGAAAAAGGAGGGGTGTATAAATCTGGCAGTGGTTTATGAAAATTCAAATACAACATCTCTGTGAGGTAGGCCTGAGCAAAATAAATATAGCTACATATATACTGTTTTATATATAGTTATACACACACATTATTTTAACACAACCTCTACAAAAATATATTGATATGGAGTTTTTAAATTTTCCAAATGACTTAAAGAAGAAAGTAAGACAATATAGAAAAGTTATGCCCTAACATAATCAGTGAATTTGTTTAAATTATTAGCATAAAATCAAGTTTAAGTAAAAAATCTACTAGTTTTTTCTTGATAATTCATAGAGTACATACATGTACATATTTACTTATATGTATATATGTATAAATACATATTTCTAAATGTATATTTACATGTATAAATGTAGACTATTTTTATATCCTCAGTATTATTTAACTGCTTTTAAAATATTCACATAAGGATGTCTATGGAATAAAACTACAAATAAAATGTCACACACAATAACACAAAATTTAATACAGATAGACCATTCTTTTTGTTCTAGCTTGTTCTGTTATGAATGCTGTTTCAACTACTTATGCCATTACTTTAAAAACTGTTTATTAGTAAATATATTTCTAACTACACTGAGGCTATAACTATTAAAAAAAAAACATAAATAACACTGCTTCCTGAATTGAGGGGTTTTTTTATCTTTAAATTCCAATAAAACATTTTTTAAACAAATTATTGCTATCTTGTGAATATCATTTATGTTAGCTCATCTTTAAGTGGTCCTAAGCTACTATTTGGTGGTTGGACCTTTGAAGTGTTCATAAATCTTTAGATTAATGATGAATGCTATAAGGCAAGCTTGTAAATGCAACATTCTGTTCCTCACTTTCTGTGAAAAATCATTTTTCTGCTATACTTTCAAAATCTATTTTTAAGATTGCCCATTGTACACATCCACATAGCTAATCACTTATAATAATGTCTGCTTCTGAACATTTAACCTGCTGACATACTGATGCATCTTAACACAATAAGATGGCAAAATTCCTTGACCTAGAATTGTTTAATGATTTACACAGAAACACATATGCATATACATATCCCCAGTGAGCTGTGTAAACTCAAATAAGGGTAGGGACCATAGTTGTTTTGTTTATCACATATGGAAATTTTTTTCACACTCCCTCGAACAAAGAAGGCACTCCAAAATTATTTCTCGAATTAATGACTAGATAAATTAAAGATCAATTAAGTGACAAGACTATAGAGCTACAGGCATGATTGCTCTCTTGAGACTTTCAAATTACAAAGTTCTACTTTTCCTTTTTAAAGCTGCATCAAAGCTTTCAAGCTAAAATTTTAATTCTGTGGTTCAAAACCAAAATCTGGCCATCCATTCTGAAGTTTATACAACTTGGGAAGGGAAAGTACACAAACATGTTTCCTCCTGGGGTAAGTATTCTGATGTCTGTATTTCTTATCCTTATCCTCCTTATCATTGCCCATCCCACACACCCCTCCCATAGACCATCTTGCTCTTTGCTCAGGCTTCCCCAATTCAATAAATGGCAAACCTATCCTTAAAGAGGTCCTTCCTGATTCCTCTTTAATCTCTCAGAAAACCTACCTGGTAGATTTCTAAAACATATATCCATAATGCTCCCACCTACACATGATTTTTTACTGACACAACCGTGGTCTGAGTCAACATTGTTTCTCACCTAGATTGCTGCAATATTTACCCAGCATGTCTCCTTTCTGTTCCCTTTACCCCAGCCAAACTATTCTTCATAGTTCGATCCCAGGACCCTGAGATCATGACGTGAGCCGAAGTCAGATGCTCACCTGACTGAACCACTCAGGCGCCCCAGAATGACCTTTTTAAAACATATGTCAGAGCATACTGAACCTCTAATTCTCTCAGTAATTTATAGCATAATATTAAGGATAAAGCCAAAGTTTTTCGGACAGTCTTCTAGACCTTCTGTGATCTGGCCCCATTTATGCCCCACTTCACTTCCCAAGTTCTTCAAATGTCATCTTTCAGGGAGGACTGCCCCAGCTACTCTGCTGAATATGGCATACTTTGCCTGACATATTGTTTATTTTCTTTGCTTTATCTTTCTCTTAACACTCCTACCACCTAGTAGCCATTATATTTTAATTATTTGATATTTTATTTACATTGCACTAGAATCTATGCTCCACGAAGGCAGGATTTTTTGTTTATTTTCCTGACTGAATTCCAACCCCTAAATAGTGGAGACACTCAAGAAATCTTTGGTGCAAAAATGAATGAGTGTTCTAGTTTACCAGCATCTCTCTCCACCTTCGGGGCCTTCTTTCTGTGTCTTCCCTTCATGAGCTTTACAGAGGTTAAAATGAACAAGAACAGAAATCCTCTGAGAACACAAGTCATATCGCTGTTTTTCCATTACTGTTATTTCCGTAGATCATGAGAGAGATCTGGACACCAAATTAATGATGGCTAATATAGTTATTAAGCATGTTTAGGTGGTAGGAAGCTGCATTGTGACATCCCTTATATTAACTTAAAATGTTTATAAACCTACATAAACCCAATGAGGTAGCTGCTTTAATTATTCCAGTTCCATAAGTAAAAAAGCCAAGTCTGAAAATGGTTAGGTAACCTACACAAAGTCATATATTCTGTGTGTTTGAATCTGAAGAGTGCAACTGCAGAGCTTTTATTTTTCAATTCAATACTGTAGCCCCCTCTCACTGCTCCAACTTGCTGTGCTCTGGTCATTAAGCAAACACTCTTTTGTTCTGTCTTTCCGGTTTCTGTTCTACTTTCTTATGGGTTACTATGGTTTCCTTGGCTTCCTTTGGCTTCCACCATTTAAGACCTAAAATTTATTTGAGCTTGGAGTAGATATAGGGAAAAAGACAACCTTCAGTTGATTGGATTCTAAGGCACTTAGTTCTGCCTAATTTAGATGACAGAGACTCCCCTTGTGGTCTACACAAACCCAACAGAATCTGATATCAGAATTTGACATGGAAGCCCCAGCCAGCAATAGAGTTCATTTGTTAGGTTTGTATTTTATGCATACACTTCCTTTCAGAACTTGAGGGCAGGGGAGATTGGGAATGGAAAGATTTAAAGATACTTGGGAATCCAGGTACGTGCTTGATTTGTTCTTCTTATGAAGTTGTGTCCAAAAGCTAATAAATAAATAATTGCCCTTAGAAAAATAAAAAAACTGCCAGTTTTAGTGGTTATAAATTCATTCTAGATTATATAAGAATATATATAAGAATAGCAACACATTTTACCCAATGAAACAGTAGTTACTGCAGTACTAGTGTCTTCTATTCAATGCTGGATAATTTGTAAATTATAATCATGCAACCAGAAATTTAAAATTGACTATGTATGCTTACCAGCACTTTCTATTAGTCCAGGAAATGACACATATGACAGATCATTAAGTAGCACGGAAAAAATTATTTTAAAGGATATTACACAGCTAAGTTTTGCAGAATGTTCATTGAAAGATCAAGAACGACACTTATATGTATAGCAGTGGTAATGTTAGTACAGTGGTTGTAATAATAAATGTAGTTAGCATTACATAGAATTTAATATATGCCAAGCAGTTTCGTGTTTCACATTGAGTAACCCATGTAAGAATCAAAGCGATCTATAAGATAGGTCCTTTTACTATCTCCCTTATACAGATGAATAAATGTAGTTATAAAAAACTTACCAAGGTCACAGAGCTAGTAAAAGGAGAAGTCCAGTTTTATTTTATTTTTATTTTATTTTTTAAAGATTTTATTTATTTATTT